TTACTCTCTGAAGAGAAGAGATAAGTATCATTGAAGTCACTGAAGCATAGATGAGAACACTCACCATGGCACTATATAGAGAAGATCAACAAATTTGAGGGATTATAAATGATCATATTTCAGAACATAAGACAACTTTACAGTGACAAAGGACAGAAAGAAATTCTCTAGAAGAACATATTATTCTACAGTTGTCTGTGCTGGACTAGATGGAGCACTAGCCTGATCCCACATAACAATTCTTACCAAACTTAGATAGTGGGTTTAATACAGCAGCACTTAACCTCTGGCCCATAGAGCTGTCTCATCTAGCCCCCAGCGCTCTCAACAGGTCTGAAATTTGGCAGCAAGGAGCACTGCTCCCCCACTGCCATGTTTCTTAGCCCCAGAGGCCAGATGACATGACTGTGTGCTGAATCAGTTTGGCATGCAGAGACAGGGGTGTGGGCCTAACTCAGTACATGTTGGACTGGGGACTGGGCAGTGGGACCTATCTGGTATGTGCAGGGCCAGAACAGAAGGCTTGATCCAGTGTGGGGGGCCAGGACCAGGCCAATGGGCCTAATTTATTGTGTGTGAGGCCAGGGCCAAAATGGTGGACCCAATCTGGTGTGCAGGGTTGACACTAGGGCAGTGGGCCAAATTCAGCATGTGGGACCAGGGCCCAATGCAGTCTGTCAAGCTAGGACCATGCATAGCAATATGCCCATGTGCCAATCTTGTGCCAGATTGGGCCCATGGACTCAGCCTGTGAACTGGATCCAGCTTGCAGACCATGCCTGCACCACTCATCCAGTCCGCAGGTCGGAAAGGTCTAGGCACTGGTGGTTTAATACAGTCCTCTGACATTTTTATTTTGTGAACTGCTTTATAATGGAGACTTTCTTTTCATTTTTACCTCTCCTCCTAGCTCTATAGTTCTTAATACTAATTTACATATGGGTCTATTCCTGCTAAAGAAAAGGGACCTACTGAATGTGGCTGTGGAGATTTGTATCCCTGAAGATTTTGCCCAAAAGCAATTTCGCCAATGCTGGCTTCCAAAAGCCAGTGACCTCAGTACTAACCGGGCAAGTAAAAATAAGTCTTGTGGTATTAACTGAAATGAAACTACAGTAGTCTCAGAGAAGTGCTACTTCATTTTATAAGCATGTTAGTTTGCACTCAAAAATGAGTCAAAATTAGTAGAGCAGAGAGGACAGGGGACCTTTTGGATGAACTCACAAGGGTATTGGATGTCAGTTTGAAATACAGATGGCTGAAAAACTAGGGTTTTCAATTAATAGGAAATGACTTAAAAATTGATTGTGCACTAAACCAAACTGAAACCAAAAGTTTGTTTCAATATTCTGCAATCAGAAAGTCTGATAAAACTTGCAAAGACAGTGTTTCCAAAACAAAATATGTCCCCCAGGCCCTGCAGATGCCCACTGTCATTAGGTTTTATATATAGCATATAATATAAGATATATAATATATAAATCTATAGAACCTGGTGAGGATCAGACACTGATTTCTTGGGGTTAGAGATGGCCCTTCACAAACCCCTGAATTTAAAACACTCAGTGCAGGGAAATTTGGGACCAAACCATTCTTTGCTACAGGCTAACTTTTGCCCTTAGATTTACATATTCCATTTCTACCACTTTTAGTGGAAGTTGGGTATCATGGCATGGTAGAATTTGCCCTAAATGCTGCAGGATATGTTTTTGGTTTCAGACAGAAAATGTTTTGGGCCATGCTAAAAAAGAACTCTAGGGTCACAAAATCTCATGGGTGACTCTTTAGAGCAACCTTATAGCAGACTGCACAGCAGTTTTACAAGCAGTTTAGAAAAATGTGTTGTTTGGCAACTACTAAAAACCCCCTCAGAACTCAGATGGGAAGGTCACACCTCCACCATTAAGCAGGGGTATAACATGTGCCAAAGGGTTCTGCCCAAATGAGATGAAAGATTGGCATGCTCCTGAATATAAAGCAATAAATGCAACAGCATTATCCTCTTCCTAACACAAAGCTTGGCAGTCTCTCTGTACAGTGACAGGCTCTATAGCTCCTGGAAAACCATTCCAGTGCATACTACCAAGTATACCAGTGCAGACTACCCCAGAGTGACAGACTTGGTAGTCTGTCCCAGCTCCAGGTCCTGACTTTGTAGCAAGGACACTGGAAGCTCTCATTGCCCTGGCTCCAACTAAGCCACAGAGCTCAAAGAATTAAACCATAGTTAGAGCTGGGACTCCCCAGGCTTTCAAGCTCCATCCTCTAGGCAGAGCGCATTGAAGCTCTTTGCCCTGAAATCTCAGGATCCTGGCCCTATGTTAGTCCATTTGGTGGGTCTGTCGCAGAGCCACAGATCCTGCATTCCCACCAGGGAGATTGACCTAGGGCCTGTGTTCTTCCAAGGTCCCTGGCTTTGGAGCAGACCCAGCAGGTGAACTGCTCCCAGGCTGCAGACACAGAGCTTACTTACTGTTATTTACTTATTTAGATGCTGCCTTTCCCAGCAAAGGCTCAGGGCAGTGTACGATAAGAAAAACAGATTAACTTAAAAGCAGGTGAGCACATAAGAGGGCCAAAACAATTCAAAAGGGAATTGGAACATGAGATAAAACAGAAACTCCCTAAAAAATAATCTCATCCTTGTTCTGTTCAATAATACTTACCCAAATAGGAAGTTCTTACAGCGTTTCCAAAAGCTCGACCTGAGGCTTCCCAGGCTTTCAAATCCAACTTCCAGGACAAAAAGCCTTTTTTGTTCATACAGGTCTTCCAGGGTCCCCAGCTTCAGGATAGACCTATAAGGTGGGCTCCTCAGAGTGAGAAGCCCAGGATTCCAGGGCAAATCTGCCAAAAGGTCCATGTCTATGTGGTGCATCTGCTTAAGGGTTACAGACCCTGCAAGCCCTGGATCTACAGAGCTGGGGCAGGCTGCCAGGAGTGGTTCTGCACAACCCTGCCTTGGATTTAGTGCAAACTTGTCAAACCCAAGATGTTTTAAACAAAACATTCCATGCTCATTCAATGAGCATTTTCTGACAAAATTTTGTGCCTTGAAAAATTTCCATTCTGCTCCAGTCTAAACTTCTTTAAGTCTGCAAAATGTGGTTGGATAGGAAGAAACTTTCCATCAAGCACCGACTTGGAGGAAAATGAGGAAGCTAGTTAGAAAAACGACAGCTGAATAAATGTGCATAGACCTATTATGATAAATGTATGAAGGGTGTAAACACCAGGAAAAGGTCATGGTTCAGGGTGTTGTGAAAACACATAATCAAGAATAATTGAATTAAAATAGGTACAGGAAAATGCAGGCTACGTATCAAGGGAAAATCATATATTGTGGAAAAATCTTCCAGGGGAAGAACTGCCAAAACCATAGCTTGGGTCATCTAAGATTGTACTGGACAGATATTAAATTGGTACCTTCACATTGGGTGAAACAAGATCATTCCAAAGTGTGAGAACATAATCTATTAAAAAAAAGTTTATTAAGTGCTATGAAAATCATTAAGCCCCCCTCGAGATGTTACAGGTACTATACAATTAACTGGCTTAACAAAGATGAGCTACATGTGCAAAGTAGCTATCACACAATTAAAAGCTCCAACCAGCTATGAAGCTAGACCTTGAAAACATGTACTAATTTTATAGCTGGTTGCTATTGAGCTTTAATTTGCATGTGTAGCAGGGTCTCTCCTGCAGCTGGGAGCTCTGTCAGCTGACAGGGCCCCCAGATGCAAGGGTGAGTCTTGCCCAGCATGAAAACCCCAAGTCCTGAGGATTGCAACTGCTGTGAGCCTCAAGGCTAGGGGTGGTGGGAAGTGTGGTGCATGAAAACCCCAACCCACATGGAGCTCTCAGTCTGGCTCCTCATGTCTAGCCAGGACTGACTCCTACAACTGATGGGGGTCTCAGCCCTGACTATGCCTCATGTATACCCAGGACCATAGTTTCATAGTAGGTAGGGTCGGAAGGGACCTGAGCAGATCATAAAGTCCGCCCCCCTGCCATGGCAGGAAAGAATGCTGGGGTGAAATGACCCCAGCTAGGTGATTATCTAGCCTCCTTTTGAAGACTCCCAGGAGCTTTGTAACTCACAGGACTGTCAGCCTCAGCTGTACCTCATGTGCCCCCAGGACCAAGAGCCCCGGAATTGATGGGACTCTCACCCCAGCTGCACTTCATGCACATCCAGAACTGAGAGCCCCACAACTGATGATCAGTGAGGCAAAGCCAGGGCTGAGACCTCTTCAGCTGTGGGCTTTCTTGGCCCTGGCTGCATAGGGCTCCCATTGCTGGGAGCCCCCTCAGCAAAAGGGGCTCTCAGCCATGGGAGGCTGCTTCTTGCCAGTGCAGGTGGAGCCCAGGATTGGGTTCTGCTTGCACCGGCAGTATGGCATGATTGGATCTTGTATGAGATCCCACAATTGCTCCTTCTGTCATGTACATGTGGCATGGCAGGAGGCACAATTATGTGGATCACGTGTTAAATCAAATCACGCCTTTACCTGCACATGTAGAGGGGGCCTAAGACAAAAATCACTCTGAATTCTAGACACAGACTTGTGCACTGATACCTTATTTAAAGGGTCTATTTCTCTAAAATTAATCTTGAAACTAAAAATACATGCATGACTTGGTTTAATGCACACTTTAAAAAATGTTGATAAGGAAGAGCACATCCTTCAATGCAGAAAGCACTGGAGAGTTGAAGCTTAGGTCCCTGTCACAAATAAATTAGCTATCAGTAAGTAAAAAGCACTTGTTTAATATTATCTGTTACTTACTTGCGCATGTGCCATCTGGCATGAGCATGTACCCATTGAGACAATAGCACTTGTAGCTGCCGTGAGTGTTCATGCACCTGTGCTCACAGGGTCGTGGTTTCAATCCACATTCATTCATATCTGCAGAAATCATTGGAAAGAAATGAGGGCAAGGATTTTTTAGTTTGTTTTAAAGATCTATATATTTATAACATTGCCTCATGTCTTCAAATCCCCAAAGGGAAAGTCCTGGGATAGAGAGTGAGCCAACCCCTTGTCAGAAAGGAATTTAGCAGACCATCTGGCTGAGTGAGTGCTAGGAAAGTTAATGTGTACAGCCTGCTGCACCTGACAAACTTCAGCACAATGTCCGGAACCATCAACTGGACTGCAAAGAGTGGGCCCATCTACGTGTCGCCCTACAACAATGTTGTTACTGCGCTGTGCTTTAGTGCTTCCTTTGCGGTGTGTGGTTATTTTTAGCTGCTACTTTGCTTCATTGGTGTACTAAAATGAGGCAGCTTGCATCTATGGTGAAGTAGCAGCTGGTGATGTGTGACACATGACCACTATGTTGCTGTAGCGTGTCGCTACGGCAAGTTAGGGTGACGTGTAGATGTGCCCAGTGAAGAGAAAAGCTGCAGTAGTTCTCTGGGACTGTAGGGGACAGGAGTATGAGCAATGGCCTCAAGCTGCAGCAAGGAGAAATTTAAGTTGGAGATTTGTAGGAACTTTCTGACTATGAGGGAGACCATTGGAACAGGCTACCTAGAGAAACTGTGGAATCTCCAGCCTTGGAAGTTTTCAAGAGCAGGTTTTAGACAGACCCTTAGCTGAGATGGTTTAGTCAAGGATGATCCTGCCTTTAGCAGGAGGCTGGACTAGATGAACTTCTGAGGTCCCCCTTCCAGTCCTACTTTCCTATGATCTATGGGCATCTTTACACATGCTCTGGGGTTGGGGGGCTGGATGGGGTGCACTTTAATTAGAGTGACTCTTGCTCAGTTTTCACATTTTAGCTGAAGATTTCTTAGTCCCCTACCCAACTTCCATGCCAAACCAAGAGTGAAAACTGAGCATAAAAGTTCAAGAATATTTAGTCAGCCTGAGATAAAATTGACTAAAGGACTTTAAGGGACAAATATCACCTGTATTATTCTTATGGCACAAATGCCTGAGAGAATACAAGAGACTGTATTCTAGAAACTGTTTGATTCTGTGATGGCAATGATTTCTCTAAGCAAGCTTCTAAACCCCATCCTCAAAACATTTCAATAGAATTTGGATAGGACAAGAAAGAAATCATATAATTTTCAAGCTCCCCTATAATTAGCTGGTGAAGAAGGAAAAACAAACCTACTAAGTCTAATTTGCACGATGTAACATTCACTGCTGACAATGGAGGCATCAGTCTTGTTATATATGTTTGTGCCTTCCATGGGCTGTTTGACAACTGTTCTTTTCCTCCTTTGAAACCTTTTTAGCAAGCGAACAGTTAGAGTTCATTTACAAAATACTTCAGTATGTTTAACAATATACCAGCCAAGTAATGAGATTTCAATAAAGGCACAATGCTCAGAGGGCTGAGCACAGTCAATTCTAGTTCTAATGATATCAGCATCTGTACAGTCATACAGATGGCTAAAGGAATATTTCCAGAGATTGTACTGGGCCTTTAAACACATGCTTAGGGGGTGGAGGGAGGTGTTTTAATTACAGCAGCTCTAAGAGCCACTTTAATTAAAGTGCCCACAGTGTCGCACGTATTGGCATCCCTGCGCTTCAAAATGGTTTTAAAGTGCTCCCACTACCATTCTGAAGCACGGGGACACTGATACATGAGATGTGAAAGCTGCTGGAGGTGTGTTAATTAGCACGCTCCAGCAGACTCAATTAATCAAGTCTGCTCCGATGCGTTGTAATTACAGCGTATCGGAGCAGCCTCTCTGCTGGTCTACAGACACCCAGTTTTTAGCAAGGTACTTGCAAATGCATTCATACTAGCTGATTCCAACAAAAAGAGGTAGCATGATTTAATTACTTAAAACATTTGTTATTCTTTGTCATACATTTTCAAGATACACTACCACTTGAAAATGTGTATTGCTGTTATAGTTCCAAGTAATTAAAAGTAGCTGGCAGAAGCCAAAACTGAGCACTCAAGTTTCTGAATGCACAATTTTGGACACACTCATATCTGTGTTCTCAAAAATTCAGATTGGCATGTGCAAACAAAGAAGAGTTGCTCCTGAATCCTGAGAAAGAATGTGTTCAGCAATCCATTCTGAGAGGCTGGAAAAGGAGTGAGTACAGGCTTCATGAGTTCTGGGTACAGTCTCTAGTCCTTCTGCATGCTTCCTGTATGACCTTGTTCCAGTTTCAGAGCTAGAGTGCCCCACTTTAAAATCAGGATAATGAATTATTTATATTAGCCTAGAGGTAAGGGAGCCAGGGTTTGATTCCCTGTCCCACCACAGATGTCCTGTGTGACTTTTAGCAAGTCATGTACCCATCCAATCTCCAAAAGGACTTGGGTGCCTAAAATGGGACTTGGGTGGAATTCAGGAAGGGATGGAGTCACTCTTCACCATTCCTATTGAAACTGTGCAGCAAAGAATTCAACATTCACTGGGTAAATGAATGGGACCATGACTCTGCATCTTAGCGGCTAGGGCATTTGCCTAGGAGGGATGAGTTTAAGGTTCCAGTCTCTGGTTCTAATGCCATTTATATATTTATCAAATGACTCTTTTGTGTAAAATGCATGGACAGTCCTATAGCAGAGACCAGAACTCAAGTCTCCCCAGAACTAATAGAATTCCCTAAGAACTAGTTAGGCACTCATGTTCATTCTTAATATCTCTCTCTGGATCAATGAACCTTCACTTACTTCCTGCGAAGCAGCACGGCTCCCCAGGAGGAGTGGTGAGCATCCCTATCCTGGGAGTTAGGGCATTTCTCAGGTGGGTTTAGCCTGCTCAGGCAGAGAAGGACATTGACCCAAGGTCTCCCATATCCTAAGTGAGTGCTGTAACTATCAGATGCTTAAAAAAAAAAGAAGTTACATCACCTCTTCCTTCACATACCTTTTAAAAGAAACAAGGGGCCCTGCCTCATTTTTTGAAAGAAATAAGGCACTTAACAGCAGGAGAGGTTTTAGGGCTATCAATCCTGGCCTGCAATAGATGCCTCTGCAACCTAGAGTTAGGCCTTTATGCTATAGGGAAGGAAGGATTTCACACAGAGTCATCTGTGTTTTCTATGAGTTAACTTAGGCAAGTCTCTACTCAGCATGCTGGCTGCTGTAGATCCCATCTGCTCTTCTCATTGTGAAGCTGGTCAGCTCTCCCCAGGCACTATAAAAGGGAGTGCATACATCTAACTTAGGGCACTGGAGTGAATTGTAGGAGGTGGCACCTAAAGGATGCTGTTTCAGTGCTGAGGGAACACTTCACAACTAGAACATTTTTAAGCCTACCAACCTGTTAGCCTTTGAGAACCTCAGTTAAACAGCTGCAAACAAAGAAATGATCCTAAAGTTTTCCATAGGGCATAGAAGCCAAAAAGAGACAGATCATACAGAATGACAGTATTTTGGAGACGAACTATAACATGTACAGACCTTGACTGCAGGATTTCCCTGTAAATCCAGGAAAACATTTGCATTTGTTTGGCCCCATGCATTCACCATACTTGCACCCATGTTCACAGATGGCTGCAGGGAGAAAAAGAGAAAAAATGAAAGATGCAGTTGTGGGGTGAGGGAGGGAGACATTTCTGCATTACAGCATAAGATGAAACCTTCTATTTTCTGCATCAATCCATAATACCCTGAGGAAATTTTAAATGGAAAGGACCAAAATCAAGGCCTGCCTGCACTAGTAAATTTTTATGCTAGCCTATACAGGACAGAAGATAGGAAGAAGATACTAAGTGGTAGTGTATAAGGAAGGGATAAGAAGGACTTTGGTGATAATTGGGCACAAAAGAAAGAATTACACTGGAGCAGCATTCTTGAAAGAAGAGGGCTGGCGTTGGTGCTGGTAGCTTTGCAGCTGAGGGATGAGAAATATCATAAGGTGCTGCCACTGGTTGGGATAAAGCTGAATCCACAGAAATTAATCTTTAAAGATTCTTTCGCTTCTCTCCTTATCTATCTCCTGCCAATAAGGGGTTGCATTGTGGCTTCACAAGTTTCCTCTCCCAGAACATCTTCCCTTCTTTCTGCACAAGGAGTGTGTAAGTTCTCTAGAAAACTGAAGTCGTTTTCTGCCTGAAGCAGTTGTATTGGCTCTATTAAAACAAAGTACATATTTGCTCAAATTCCTCATCCACTCAGCTTATTTGCTATGGCTGAGCAGGTGAAAAGAAATATGTAAGGGTTGTAAAACACTGGACACTTAAGAACTGACATGTATATACTTTTTTTAAAGGGAAAGAAAAAGAACATCTTCTAAACTCATCTGGTTTATTATCACAAGCTTGTTCATAAGTAGTGTGCTAATGTTATATGTAACTGGGGACTGCATTTCAGTGTTGTTTATTTTCATAATACTTGATCTGAGATTTCTCTCCCCTTTCCTCTGATCTCTTCCTTGCTGTCCTCTCTCCATGTCTCTTCCTTTTCCTGTCCACTCTGGGAGGTCCTTTCACACATATCACCACAAATGCTTTATTTCTATATAATACTGCTGAGTTATCAACTTTTCTAATCCCTTCCAGAGCAGCTTAAATTACTATAGATGTGGAGCAAATGCAAACACTATTTTGATTGATTTCTAAGAAAACTGGCAACGGAGTCTAAATCAATGAGATTACACAGAAAATAAATTGGAACAGAAAATTTTCCTGAAGTGTCTGAATGCTTTTTAAGTACAGAGCCTAACATGCTACACCAAAATTACAGCAGCTATCTGACAGAATTGTCAAGAAGTATTACATCTTTTTATGTAAAGTGAATTTAAATATGGAGTGTTTTTTTACAAATAGGTTCCAGACAGAACAAACATACTGGAGAAACTAACGGTATGGCAAGAGAACTTCAATACATTTCTGCCTCCTGGTACTCTGTGATACAGAGAAATCTAGGTGTTCATTGTAAATTCCTAACCAAATGCTTTATTGTGCTTCTGTATAATTTATTTTTATGTCTAATCTAAGGCAGAGGGTTAAATATTGCTATTAAAAAAATCTGAAATGAGACAGTCAGGAAATAAAATTTCTCTTCTCTACATTAGTGCATTGTATGTAGTAGATGTGACTGATACAATGAAGGACAGATGAAATAGCTTTAATTCCTGACAGGAAAATGTTTCTTTTTTAGAGAAAAGAGGTTCACTAGTACAGGCTGCATGGGCCTTCTCCCACTGTTCAGTATAAATAAATTTATGAGTTCAAGCCTTCTAATTTACAGTTTATTTTGTTATTAGTCAGCAGGTGTCTGCTCTCTTTCCTTTCCCCGCACCAGGTATTTAGGGCATGGCTTTTACTAACATCTTTGAATAACCATAGCAAAGTCAATGGCTAGGGACAGACATTCAAAAAGCCTGAACTTGAATTGATTCAATCTTTGCAGGTTAGTCTAACCTGGCTAGGCTGAACTGGTTTGTAACTGCACAGACATCCAGGCACATGCCTGCAGTAGCTCAGGCTAGAAGCCAGGGGGTGCTAGAGCAGCCCTCCCATCCCTTCCACAGCACTGAGCTGGTGGGGGGAGGACAAAGCCAGACCCTGGCAGGATGCTTTGATTAGCCTAGCAGGGAAATGATAATTGCATTTATCACCCCCTAGCTCAGTGTTTATCATCCCATTAAGAAAATGATAGAGGGACATTACCAGCTACCTGTTGATTCTACCTATTGATTCAGCAGGGACCGTAGCCAGCATGTGGTCTACTATCTAATACACAGACACCTCCTCAGCAAGGCAGAGGGGAGGAGGGAATTCCTGCTTAGCAGGTAGTGGTTAGGGGAAGGGAGAGAGCAGCCTGCAGTTTGTGCTGGAGCTGTAGCTAGGGAACAGAGGGGAGGGTCCAGCCCTGCTGTGGAGCAGAGAGCCCCACCTAGTCCAGAGAGCATGCTGGAATGCTAGGGGTGTCTGGTTTACCCCAGCAAGGGGCCTGGGACAGACATTGCATAAACCAGTTTGATCCAAATCAGTTAAGTCTGATACTTTCAATCAGGTTTCTCTCAAACGGGTTTCAGCCATTTTCAAATGGGTTTATGTGCACTGAACATCTGTTCTGTTACAGGTTGAAGCCAGTTTCCTATCACTTAAACTGGTTTATGTGTAATGTCTGTCCCTAGCCAATGTGATTACCAAGAGGAGAGATGCACAGCAAGAACAAGGGTTGCAGAATAAGACCCTCAATCAAGTGCTTTGATTGGTCACAATGTTGCAACCAATAACAATGTATTCACTTTTACCACAGTCCATACATAATTGTATACTGCAGAAGTGAAAAGCAGGTATCTTATATTTTTTATGTCTGTGATGAATTGTGTTAGAAGAATATATCAGCTTTTGCTATTCAAAGTCTGTATCACTACAAATGACTTTTTGCTCCAGCAATAAAGAATAAAGCCAACATTTTAAAAACTTGATGGCTAAAGTTAAGTACCTTTATTTTTTCTTAGACACCTAGATAAATAGCCTGATTTTATTGTTCATGATAGTTCTCAGAAGTATTTATTTAGGAACCTAATTAAGATTTAGATGCCTAATTTGGTATATCTCTGTCTAAGGGCAGATCTTGGGGGCAGGAGAAGGACAAGGGGAGAGTACAGTGGTACAGGTGCACCCACCCTCTTTGATTGCTGGTCCACCCAAAGTTTAAAACAGACTGCCTGGCAGTGGCAACAGCATTTCTATTCAGACAGCATTTGAATTAACGACTCATTGTAATCTACCTGATTCCCTCTAAACTCTTCATTCCACAGGTGTTAATGACCCTCTCTCCTTTTTAATGGTATTGATCTTCTACTAGTTAAGCCATTCTTTCTTCTGTAGGTCTGATGTCTATTTGCTGCTCCTGGTAATGTAGCTCCTATTTCACAGCCCTGCAGACTGTTTTTAACTCTAGTTAAAACTAAGTCAGGTGTGGAAATAACTTTCAGTGAAGTGTTGAATGTACTTTCAAGATGCTCTAGAAGGCTTGACTTTATGAATCTGAAAGAGAAGTGCATTTAATTCTAATGACTCCACGACTAATGAAACAACATTTTTTATTATATTTGCCTAATCTGTTTTTTTTAATACAAATATATATTATAACAAAAGAATGTACATTCCAATAAAGTTGTATTTGTTTTTGCTTTGTTCTATAAATAATATAGCTCTAGGTCTTTAGCATATTCCAAAAGCTTCTAGTTCCTTTTTACCTGGAGAAAAATACGTACTGTTATGTGATGATGTACTACACCATGCACCCGTTTTTCAATATGCCAGATCTACCCATGCCCCTGTTTGAAACTCTTGGCTGAAAGCAGAACTGGTGCTCAGGTGAGTATGATTAGTCTGGAAATGTGGCTTTTATGTTCTTGTTTGAACCTGTTTTTGAGAACTGTTGTAAAGCAATTCTTTAGGAACAGAAGATTGGAAGGGACACTTGGATCACTCAATCCAAATCACCTGAAATCATGAGTGACTTGAATCTAGGTTTGCAGAGTATCTGACTTGCATCAGAAGTCAGCCAAATTAAGATAGCACTTAAGAGATTGTGAAAGCTGGAGTCTAGTAAGAGATAATTGTAGTGTTTCAAAAAAGGTCCATTTGCTCTTCTAAATTACTTCTGTATATTATCATTTTTACTCTTCAGCAACAGAATTAGGATTACACAACATAGCTTAGGTGGCTGCATGCTGCTTTTTTGGATCTTGCTACTAATACCGAATAGATACCATGGGACAGGCATGATCCATTTCTATTCTCTTGGCCTGTGTTATGCAGGAGGTCAGGCCAGAAGATCCCTCCAGGACTTTAAAAGTCTAGGAATCTAGTTTATTGGCTGGCTCTGTTTATTTGCTCTGCATTTTTCAAGAGATGGTCTCTAAAACTTATTTTCTTCCTACTCTTATAGTTCATATCTTTGTTAAACCCTACACCTCATTTATAGTAGAATGTTACTCCTGTCACCAGGCAGTTTATTTTTCCTGGGGCAAACTTGTCTCCACAGGAAAACAACATGAACAATCAAAGAAACAAATGTACAAACAAATAAATCAAAACCTGTGGTCCTGCCTCAGACTGTAACGGCAGCCCTGGTTTGTACACCACACCCTTCCCTTACTCCCTTCCCTGGGGGTTTTTAACTTCCTCTAGGGCTAGCCAATCTCCTCTGTCCACTAGCCCAGTGCTTCTAGAAAGGCAGACTACTACCCTCTAACTCCCTGCAGCTGAGCTCTAGTTCCTAAGCCATGCACCTTCTTATATCAATCTTTCTGTAACTTCTGCCAGGCCCAAAGGAAGCCGTATTATTAAAAAAATAAGTTCATAGTCATGAAGAGGAGGCAGTAATTGTGCATTATTACCTTCACAGTGCCCTCTGTTGTTCTTTTGCCAGCCGTAGCAGCATTCTGTCTTAGAACCGTAGCGGCAAACTCCAGCCCGGTTCACAGTCATCAGCTGCTTGTGAGCCCTTGAGCTGTGCAAGAAGCATAGTGTTAACAGCAGTAAGCAAAGAACATGTTTTAATCTATTGCCTTTGTATGGTTTAATTACTTTGCCTCCACTCTCATCCATATTAATTTGCTGGTATACTTTACTGAAGCACTTAGTGGGATCTGTAGAAGGGATGGTTTGGGGGACTTGAAACTGTAATGAATTTACAGAACTGTGTAAATGTTTTGTAATGAAAAACAATAATTGTTTTTTCTATTGACATGACAGAGTAGATAAACAGGGCCAAATTTGCCATCTGGCCTGTGTCAGTGTAGTGTCACAGAAGTCAATGAGGCTATTTCATGTTGCGCTAGATGTGGAAATAGTCAGCCATAACTTATTCCATAATTCTAGCTTCCCAATTTTAATGTTTATGGAAATTTCATAGATTTCATAGACATTAGGGCTGGAAGGGACCTCGGAAGATCATCGAGTCCAGCCCCCTGCCCAAAGGGCAGGAAGTCAGCTGGGGTCATAGGATTCCAGCAAGATAAGCATCCAGTTTCGTCTTGAAGGTGTTCAGCGAAGGCGCTTGAACCACCTCCAGTGGCAGGCTGTTCCAGACCTTGGGGGCTCGGACAGTAAAGAAGTTCTTCCTTATGTCCAGCCTGAAACGATCTTGAAGTAGTTTATGACCATTCGACCTCATCATCCCTTGGGGCGCTCTGGTGAACAAACGTTCCCCCAGATGCTGGTGGTCACCCCTGATAAACTTGTAGGTGACCATCAGATCACCCCTGAGCCTGCGCTTTTCCAGGCTAAAGAGCCCCAGGGCTCTCAGCCTGTCATCGTAGGGTCTGCTTCCCTGACCTCTGATCATGCACGTGGCTCTTCTCTGGACTCTCTCAAGCTTCTCCACATCCTTTTTGAATTGTGGAGCCCAAAACTGGACGCAGTACTCCAGCTGCGGCCTCACTAAGGCCGAGTACAGGGGGAGAATGACATCCCGGGATTTGCTTGAGAAGCGTCTATGGATGCAAGACAGCGTTTTGGTCACTTTACTAGCCGCAGCATCGCACTGCAGGCTCATGTTCATCTTGTGGTCAATGATGACCCCCAAGTCTCTTTCTTCCATAGTGCTAGCCAACATAGCACTGCTGAGCCTATAAGGATGCTTTGCCCCAAAGTTTGGTGTCATCGGCGAACTTGGCCAGTCCGCTTCTGACTCCAGTGTCCACATCATTAATGAAGATGTTGAACAGTATGGGTCCAAGGACAGAGCCTTGGGGGACCCCACTGGTCACAGGACACCACGATGAGTGACTTCCCTCAATTACTACCCTCTGGGTCTGACCACAGAGCCAATTTTCCAGCCAGTAGATCGTGGAGGACCCAAGGCAACAATTGGCCAGTTTCTCCAAGAGGTGATCATGGGACACCAGATAGAAGGCTTTTTTGAAGTCAAGATATATGACATCAATCTCTTCTCCCTTGTCCAGGTGATAGGTCACCTGGTCGTAGAAGGAAATGAGATTGGTCAAACAAGACCTACCCGCAACAAACCCGTGCTGGCTATCCCTTAAGATGTTGGCGTCGGCCAGTCCATTAAGGATGGCCTCTTTAATAAACTTTTCTAAGAAAATAAATCTGGTACTGAATCAGCTTAAAGGTGGTTACCATGTATTGATGGATCTTAGCATCCTTTGACTATCCCCTTCAATCCCCACCATGTTTGGTCCGCATATACTACAACTCCCTGGCCCCTGCATATTAATCTGCTATTTTTGTCAGTTGTTTTTTCCTATTCAGACACCTATACCTGAAAATCTTTCCATGGCCTGAAATTCCACACCTTTGCCCCTTTCTGTAAGACCCTCCTTACAATCCACTTCCTTCAAAAGGTCTATGAGTGTTAAACACTGCATCAAAGAAAGTGCTGGAATTCATTAGCAGGAATTTCCAGGCAAATCTGTATTTACAGGGCAATTTGTGGGATATGCATTAATTATATCATTTTATCTCCTTATAATGGTGCCATTAATGTATGTCACTCTGTACTGAAATGCAAGTCTATAAATACAGTGAAACCTTCCCGAGACAGAATGTATCATTTCCTGCTCAAGCTGGAAAATTTCTACTTGCAACATGATTTAGGGGAACCGTGTATTTAGTCTGTGGAAGCTGGACACTGGTCTAACATGGAAACAGAAAAGAAATTTGGGGCCCATCTGTAGAATCAGCTTGTATATCATAGAAAGTAATTACCTATTTTGTACATGTACACGAAGCGTGAGCGCCAAGCAGAGGAGAAGTGTAGAGCAGACAGCCCTGAGCAGAGGAGCTGGGAAAGTTCATCTAAGCCAGAACTTTTTCTATCTGGCTAAACCAAGACTTTTTCCTGGCCCTACCAGATTCTGTCTTAGACAGGTTTCACTGTATTACAATTGTAACACTGTTCTAATAAAAAACTGCTACACACATTTCTAAAGTACATATCCCCCCCAGGCACCATTTACATAAGTTAGTTAAAGTAAAAAATGATACTTTCAAAAACAGGGAATGATATTTCCCTCAGCAAAACTACTTTCTGAAATACGACTACTGCCACAGGGAGGCCAGCCAGGGGACCTCAACAGAAAGAATCCAATGGTTTATAGTTAGGAGATGGTTTGGAAAATGAAATACCTCTTTCTTATCACCCTAAAAGTGGTAAGATTTGGGCACTTGATTGGGATCTATTAAGAGCTCTTGTCCAAGAATGGTTGACCATCAATCCTGGGGACTGAAAGCATAGCATTCTGATTTTACAAGACCACATACAACCATTCTTCAGACAAATGAAAGCATGCATTAAAGCAGCAAGCATTTCCAAACAAAATTTGTATGACAGCTTCTACTGCTTTCTACATCAGAAGTCAATGCGTCACCCAATGACCCTCCCTCTTGGTATTTAGTTGGATTTATACAAAACAATCAAGTATTTTTAAAATTTTTATTTGGTTCCGTTCTTTATCACGTTTGAACAAAGTTGATTTGTTTCATTTACAATTGTGGGAGCTAAAAATTAAAAGCTAAGTATGTTCCACTTTACATCTCATCTAACCTCACTGAGTTTGTTGGGGTAGCCCTGCTCATGTCAAAAAGACCTTGCACAGCAAGGTTCGGCTTATAAGAAATATGACCTTTCAGTTACCTTTAAAAAAAATGCTGGACCCTTTCTAGAGGCGACAAGCTAACTTGACACAAGTAATACCTTTTTATGAAATGACAGCAAATAAATAAAAATAACTAAATAACAACTTTACAAACCCTCACAGATTCCCACTAACAATAGACCGGTACAGACTGTGCCTCATAAAACAGAATAATATTCTGGCATTAGCCAATAAAATGAACCCAGCTGATTTTTTTCAACATATCCTGCACAAAATCTTATTTGCTCCAAGTTCTTCAGTAAGATATCTGAAACAACAGGCATTGGGTATTTAGAACATATTGCTGGCAGGGGTAGAATTGAGTTCTGAGGTCTCTGGGCAGGAGCATATTCCCAGTCAGATTTCTCCATCACACATAGAAGAGAAGCTCTGCCTTTTTCGCTATTTATGGATTTAGGATTCTGTATCATGGACAGTGGGAAGGAGAGAGTTGGATAAAGAGCAAGAAGGTCCTTCAAAAAATGCCCCAACACCTTACTAACCCTCCAGAGATCCTGAAAGAAAAGTAATGCAGCCTGGAGTTACATGACTAACAGGGGAGGAATGGAAAAGTATTAGAGCCTGAAATAAGATGCCCTGTTGTCCCACGCATTATACATGAGAGAGAGAGGGAGAGAGAGAGAGATGACCTGTCTTGAAAAATTTAGTCTCAGTGGACAAGATGTGGAACCAAAATGGAGGCCTAGATAGAGGGAGTGACTTGCCCAAGATCAAACTGCAGCTCAGTGGCAGAATCAGGAAAAGACAGGCACCTCTAGTGTAGTGCCCTGCCTACCATCACCCAGTGGTGGAACTCTCCTTACTACAAGGGGTCCAAGGAGCAGCTGCAGTGAGGGCAGCCTTTGGCCATACAGCCCAGTGGGAGCCATACTACTAAGGAGCACACTGAGAGGCACAGGATCTCCATTTCAGTGCCCTCACTTTCTTGCAGATCACTGTGGACCACTCCAGCCCTAGGCACCTATCAAATAAATTCTTGTAGATAGGTTCATATCAGGCTTCCATCTTCTAAAACTCGTAGGCAATGGGAATGCTCAAATTGGATCCAAGCTTGTTGGCTCAAGCTTTCACAGCATGCTAGTGTTATTTAGCATAGTAGCTAGAACCAAGTGGGTAACCAGAACCAAGAACCCAGGCAGAGATTAGGAATTGAAGGTCAACAGCTAGGGTGCAGGAGCAAGAAGCAAATCCAAGATAGCCAACTGTGGTCAGGTGTAGAAGGTCTGTGGATAAAATGTCAAGCTGATGTCTAGAGCCAGAGACTAGAAACCAAAGGATAAGGCCATGAGTCAGTCACAGAATGATAGCCATGGACTATAAGCTGCTTAGTAGCTGCTTATAAATTGGAAGTTCAATCTATTGTACTACACAGGCAAGTGGCAAAGCAGTCCCTTAAATGAGAAGCTGGAGCCAATCAAGTGCTGAACAAAGGATAGCTGTTGTAGCTCTAGGTGGCTATATGGGCAAGTTTTTAGGTTCATACAGGTTTTTAGGCTCATACAGGTTAAAACCTGTCTATTACTTGTGGGTGAAAGGGCACAGTTCCAGGCTACAATATTTGTAGCTTTCCACAAAACTAAAAGCTCTCCCTGTTAACAAGAGGGAAAGGTTACAGGTCCAGCATTACAATTAGACAGTTGGGTGAAAAAGGGAATTAAAAACAGGAAAAAAGTATGCAGGTCATAGCTGGCATGGGGAGCAGCAGTACAATACATTTCCATCTCTGCTTCTTTTTTCTTCCCCCAAGCTGGTTTCCCAACCCAGGCCTTCTAGCTCGCTATAGTGAGAGGGCAGGAAGAGAGAATCCTGCATTCCTAATAGAACCTTA